GAGAGAGAGAGAGAGAGAGAGAGAGAGAGAGAGAGAGAGAGAGAGAGAGAGAGAGAGAGAGAGAGAACCTTGGTAGGGTGATGCCTCCCCATAACACGCAACCGTGTGTCCTCTGGCTCGGGATGCACTTCCTTTGCGTAAATGCCATCTTTTGATACACAATCTTTCGTCCAGTTCTGCAACCACATGTGATAATCAATCAATCAATTGACCAGACAATGGTAATTACTGTCTACGTTATCAGGAGCCATCTCCAAGTTACACAGTTTCTTCAGTCTTCCAGGCCGTTGATCTTTTGTAATAAATGGGAAGAAATGCAGGATTCAGGTAAGTGGCACCTCTCCCCTGTTCCGGTCCAGACACATTCATCATGCTGGGACACTGTGCTCAGTGGACGAAGGAAGCTATCTAATCTTTTTTGCAAGAACAAGTCGTGCCAAATCAATATGATTATGTTTTCAGTGGTAATCCCACTTCTGCAGGCATCTCCACATGCACCAAAATGTTCTTCTGCACATACACACACACGTCAGTCAGTGATGTTTTTTTGTGACTGTTTGTGGATGGAGTGAGAGACAGAGAGAGAGCTGTGAGGATTGAGCCCTCAAGAAGGGGCCTTGCCATGATGTACATGTTCTGGGCTAAAGCCCCAGCAAGCCTCGTGCCCGCCCTACGTGAAGGCGGGCCAGCAAATCAACAAGAGCCCTCTGTGCAAACATTTCATGAAGTGGGGTCCATACAGTTGCAGCACGCCAGTTGGTTGGAGTGCACCGAGTATCGGAGCTCTGCAAATCCAGAAATCCCAGGGCCCCAGAGTTGGTTAGGCCCTGGGCACATAAACGTGAGGCCGACAATGCATGCTGGAAATAGAGGCCGAAAATGCCAATGGGAAACCAGTCCACTATCTGAATCTGGCCGCAGGCCTTGATGAAAGAGGCGCAACTGCATCTGCTGGGCCCCAACCGCATTGGGCCTGGGTACAGGTACTGGGGCCCAGGCGCAGGCTCAAGGGAGGCCGCCCACACGCAACACTGGCATATAGGCAGGGAGGGCGAGTGGGCAGGGATCTTGGCCATTGCAAGCAAGGCCGGCACGCTGCTGCATTGCAAGTGTGCTGCGCTGCGCGAGGCTGAGGAAGGCAGGCTGGCGCTAAGCGGTAGAGCGCAGCCTGGGCGCAGGGTGCTGGCGGCCATAGCCGGGCTGCCTGTGGGCGCAGAGAAGGTGAAGGGCGAAGGTGGTTCTTTGGAGGTGAAGGGCGCTGTGTGGGATAACAAGGGAGAGTGAGGGAGAAGAGAGGGACGTACCTGGTGGAGAGGAAGTCGGCATTGGTGTTGACATCATCACTCGCTGGTCGTCAAGTTGTCTGGTTGCTATGCTGTAGTTGTAGTGATAGGCTGTAGAGTAGGTAGGGCGCCTGGCGCCATTCAAGAGAGAGAGCTACATTGGGTTATGCTGTTGGTGTTGCCCGATTGGGCCTGGACATTGACTCACAATTCTTCTGTATCGTTCTCAAATGAATGGTTACTCGGTTCCATTGTGCTATCTGCTCTTGTTTTGACTACTTGGACTTCAGTGTGATTTTGCAATCTGGATTTCTGTGCTTTGTCCACATTCATGTTCCTTGCATTTTGGTATCGGAGCTGGTTCGATTCGCCACTTACCTTGGTGCGCTGGCGTTATACAGACTTGGTGCGTTGATGATGCTTCTTCGCAGTTGGTTCTTGTGACGTCAGGCCAACATTAGGCGCATGACCTGGGTAGAGAGGTGTGCGCCGGAAGGCTATACGGCATGGTATGCCGTGGTTGGTGATGAGAGCATGCTGATGTGGCATTAAGCTGAGGTGGCACTGCATTGCGTTGTGGGTGGTACCGAGGCTACGACCGGTCATCAAATGCACACTCAGCTCAATTGGTGAGAAATCTGTGGTTGGGGGCAGCTATCTCCA